CACTCGAGAAGGACACAGTATGGTTTTGTGGATGAGACACTGAAAGGTACACAGGCGATCTTACCTCGCCCTTTGTTCAGTTTGTTTTCCCACTTACTGAGTGACTTTGGGTAGATCATCTCTCTGTGCCTTGGTTTCCCCACCTGTGGAGAGGGGGTCGTGTCTTTGGCCCTCCTCAGCACTGTGAAGATGAATCAGAGTCTCAGTTCTATGACTTTAGAAGTGCAGGTGCAATTGCCGTAAACAGAAAGGATCCTCTGACTGTACCGTGCCCAGAGAGTACAATGTACTGTTGCAATCTGGGGCAGAAAAGAATGGTCTCAAAAGCCCCATTACAGCTAACTGGAATTTAAATAAAAACTTTAAGAAAATAAAGAGTCCTTCAAGGAAAAAAAAAAAAAGCACATTGCAGCTCATAGTGTCACATGTGATGCAAAGGCCCAGGTCTGAATGTCACCAAATTAGAGGTTTGCACTTAGAGAAAAACACCGTGTAAAGGAGAAAAAAACCCTTTGGATTAAAAAAAAAATCCATAAGGCTAAATAAAATTAAATCAAAAACAGAAGCCAAACCTAGTAATGGTAAAGAATGGTTCTTCCAAATTTCAGACCACTCTGTCTGTAGAATATAGATCCATCTCTGTATTCTAGAATAAGTGGTCCTGTTGCCCTTTGAGGAGGAGTGATTTCCAGAATCCTTTGTTGGGCCCTTTATTTATATTCTTCTCTTTGAAGTGACACCAGAGAGAAGTGTCTTTTTTTCTGAAATACAGCAAGGGAAAATTGGAGGAGTGTGGGGCAGTGGGGCTGGTGGGTGAAGAAAGGCTTACTTCTCTTGATGTAAACATCCTAACAAGTGCCCGGAATTCGCCTCAGAGTGCCATGCTGGACATTTTCCTACCATCTGGAAGATTGCAGCCCTGAAGTGGCCTCAGACCTTCATATTTGCCCTCTCGGAGCGTCCTCCGGCTCTGAAAAGAGAGAACGTGAAGTGGAGTAAGGAGGGATGAGAAGGGTTGGAAGAAACTTTGGTTTGGTCCATTACCAAGGAAGCAAGCAAGACGAAACTGTTTTGGATGGAATCATCAGTGAAGCTAGCCCAGTGTCCTGCTCAGGCAGTGACCAATGCCTTCACATCTGGACAGGAAGATGGAAGTTTCCCTTCAGAAGCTCACAGACTGAACCTTCAAGGGAGCAGTAACCAGGATTCGCCAAAGGTGAAGAGTGTATGGAGTAGGGCTGGCATATGAGAATGCGGTTTATGTTCAGGCCACTCTATGAAGTCCACCAGTTATCGTTCCCTCTCCTTTAAAAAGTCCATTGAAACAAAGGGGTGCCTGACTTTGTATCAGGGGCTGTATATTGTTTACTGTCAAATCCCCTATAGCTTACGGTTTAGCACTTCACGTATAGTAAGCACATAAATACTAGATGGAGAGAGGGATAGATAGTGGGTGGATGGTAGATCAATCAACACTTCACAGTTCTAAGGAAATCTATGAAGAATAGATCGGGTGGGCAGGCCTCCATACTTTTGATGAATTTGTATCGAACATCTGCTGTGTGCCAGGCACTTCTTTTGATACTGGGAAGACAAAGTCTGGTCATTGACCTTGGGGACCATTTTTGCTTCATTGTCCTGAGCAGACATCTATATTTACCCATTGGGCTTACCTTCCTTCCCACCCTGATATCCATCCACAGGCAGGTCTTGCCTTGAAGCACTAACTTCAAGCCTTCCACTTTCCTAGGGAGACACCATCTGCCAACCAATCATCATTCAGTCAGTGTTGTTCTCTTTCCCTTGATTAATCAGGGGCCTTGATTAATCAGGTCAAATGCATAAGGTCATGTACTTAATCAGCTTTAAATTCCAGTAAAAAGAGAGACTATACCTTCAAGGGTGTTGTTTGTCGTGATGTTAACAGAGGCAGAATAAATAATGACCGTTGAAAAAATGGTCATTATCGTCAACCTAGAGAATGAGCCTCAGGCTATGCAGAGTCCCAGATCACTAAAACAGGGTACCACCTTCATCGTTCAACTGCGTGAAGACAAGAAACTCAACCTTTCAGAAGTGCTTCCAGTTTCAATGTTCCAACAAGATTTCTGATCAATACTAAATTGATGAGAAAGCTTAGTGAAGCAAATATCCTATTTCTTAAGACTTCCGGGTGATTGAGGTTCCCCACAGGTTGCTACGTGGACCTGAACGGCAGCTCCACTCTGCACGTCCCAGGGAAACATTTGGCAGGTGAGCAAAAAGCAACCTGGCAGTTCTTGACAGAACCTGGAACGCGGCTTTCAGGGACCCAGCGGATAACTCTCAGTTCTAGAAATGTTGTTGAGGTCTTATATGTGGTACATTTGGCTTCGGGTGTCTGGTGCGGCACCTGCAGGATTACGACCCATCACGTGCTTTAATTACATGACTCTGTAGAAGAGCACCTGGCCTGCTCACCTATGTACTCTGTTCCATGGAGCTCTGGTGCTCTATGTATACACACCTCCTCCCAGCCCCGTACATCCCTTCACATGCCCCTTCATACTGGGCCCTGGTGCTTTGGCTTCCCCTAAGTCAGGGCTGGGACAGAGGGTGGAGTGGAGTTAGTATCACATGTTAGGGTATAGAAGGGGAGGAAGGTTTCCTTTTGAGGAACAGTAGTGATCATTGTTACTTCCTGACTCATCAAATACTGTCACGTCCCACATGAGCACAAACATAGTGTGAAGTGATTTTTAAATTACCTGCCATTTTGAAGTGTTCATGCCTTTCTTCCTCTCCACTAGCACAGTATTGATGACATGTTTTTGTGTCAGACATTTGCACACTTCACAGGACTGTCAGAAAGACAGTAGGTCCATATCTGCTCCTGGGTTTGAGTGTGTGTATGCACACACACACACACACACACACACACACACACACACACACACTCCTACAGATGTGGCTACCATACCTTCAAGGCAAAGAGTTTGGCAAAGAAGCAAGTATCTTGACTTTTTCCAGCTGTTACCTACTACTCCATGGGCCCCTCTTGTCATCTATAAAAGGAGGACAATGATTCCCACATGGTAGGCAGTTGTTAAATGAGTTGATGCTTGGAAAGCAGCACAGTCCCTGGGAAATAGCACCCAATTCGTGGATATTGTTATTCTGAACTTGGGAGGGTAGAGAAGGAAGGAATGAGGTAGACTGCACATCAGCCAGGTCGTTCTGGTGGACGCCAGGCTTTGATGGTAGCCCTTTGCAGTTGTCTGCATCCCTTGCTGTTCGGCAATCCCCCAAACGATCCAAAGGAAGGGGCTCTGGGATAATTGTTCCCCCGTAATGTGCTGTAGCCTGGGGTCGGGGTGGGAGGGATTACCTTGTTTACCAAACGTTTGGCAATAAAATTGACATCTGATGGTAATTCTCAAAATTTTATTTTAAGGCTTCCTAAATGATGGCTAAGATGACAGAATGTTTTAAAATGGGGGAAAAGCATTCCTGTCGTGGTGCCAAATTCTACAGTCGTATCTTTAGCAGAACCACATGGAAGAGGTTGTGGGAGGCACACTGGTACTGGCAGAAATTCTGGGATACGCCACTGTCTCTGCTACGGTCACATGGGAATGAGAGACAGGGTCTGGGACAAGCCCAGCCTGGGGAAGTGCTGATGGGCTCATTGTAGGAACAGATGTGGGAGCAGAAGGAAAGAGCTGGGTGTTGCATCATCCTCAACAAATGACTTTTCCTAAGAAGGCCCAGAAAACGCTATCCTTCCCTGCCCCACTGGCCCTGCAGACAGCCACCTGGAGGACTGGGCTTGTACAAGTTGAGTCCCTGTCCTGGACGTATATCAGGGCACTGACTGAGTGGCCCTTGCTGGCTCTCACTTGTGCATCAGGAACTGGGGTGCCCTCCTGCTTTGTCACCTTTCTTCTGCCCTTGGACACCCTAGAGGGAGACCCCTGTGGGCCTTAGAGTCCTCCTGAGCCCTCAGAAAAATAGTAGAGCAGGCACAGCGTGCCTCCCAGGAACATCTGCTTGTTTGACAAGTACTTGCAGGGTGAGCAAAATGCATAGCCGACGTGAACAATTTGCAAATGCCGGGATTACAGGTAGTGATAACTAAAGCATACTGAGCACTTACACTGTGCAACTGTTTTAAGCACCTAGTCCTCACCAGGTCTCTATGAGGTAGGTACTATTATTTTCCCCGTTTTACAGATGAGAAAACTGAGGTACCGAGTTTCAGTGACTTGCCCAAGGTCACACAGCTAGTATTGGGCATAATCGGACCTGGACTGAGTCTGACTTTATAGCAAATGCTCCTAACCAGTATGTTCTGTCACTTCTTGGGAATCAGTGGGAAAGATTTTTTAAAATATTTTTATTTCATTTATTTTTTTAATAAAGTTTATTTATTTTGAGAGAGAACCAGTGGGGGAGGGACAGAGAGATAGAAGACAGAGGATCCAAAGCAAGGTTCTGTGCTGACAGCAGACAGCCCAATATGGGGCTCAAACTCACGAACCAAGAGATCATGACCTGAGCCGAAGTTGGACACTTAAACCGACTGAGCCACCCAGGTGCCCAGGAAAGATTTTTTTTTTTTTAATTTTTAAAATTTATTTATTTTCCCAGCACAGAGCTTGACATGGTACTCAAACTCACAAATCGTGAGATCATGACCTGAGCCAAAATCAAGAGTCAGATGCTTAACTGAGCCACCCACATGCCCCGGAAAAGATATATTTAAAAAACTTTTTAAATGCTTATTTATTTTTGAGAGAGAGAGAGAGCATGAGCAGGGGAGGAGCAATGAGAGAGGGAGACACAGCATCTGAAACAGGTTCCAGGCTCTGAGGTGTCAGCACAGAGTCCGACGCGGGGCTTGAACTCACAAACACCTGAACTGAAATGAAGAGTCAGATGCTTAACTGAGCCACCCAGATGCCCCCGGAAAAGATATTTTTTAAAGGGGACCCTCCTGGGGGAGGAGGCTGCTTGGGATTCTCTCTCTTCCTCTCTCTCTCCCTAGCCCTTCTCCCTGCCTCTCAAAAATAAAATAAATACACATTAAAAAAGGCAGTGCCCTCCCGGAACCTTCCAGTGCCAGCCATTTGAATCACCACCCACTTTGCCCAGATGTAAGGCCTGCAGGGAGAAAACTCAGACGTCATCCGGACTTGGTGGGTCGTGCTGGGACTGAGGGTGAGCCTGAGGCTCACTGCCTGGAGAAAAGACAAGGTTCTTATACAGATCCTAAAGCTACCACAGCTGGGTTGGTGCCTGTTCTAGAACAGAAGTTCTCCAAGGGCGGTCACAGGCCAGCAGGATCAGCATCAGCTATGCTAGGTGTGGGACCTGGCAATCTGTGATTTAACGAGCCCTGCAGGTGATTCCAACGTGCCCCTAAGCATGAGGGCGCTGCTCAAGACCTGTGCTTTCAGGAATCACTAACCACATAAGCCTGTTTCAATTTAAATTAGTCAAATTTAAAGGAAACTAAACATTCAAGCTCTTCCATCACACCAGCCACCTTTCAAATGTTCAGTCGCCACCCAATTGGACAGCATAGATCTAGAACATGGCCATCATCACAGAAAGTTCTATTGGGTTGCGATACTCTAGAACTTTGCTACTTCCTGTGGTCCACAGACATGAGCATTGGCATCACCTGGGAGTTGCTTAGAAATGCAGAACTCAGGCTCCATCCCAGAACTTCTGATTCAGAGTCTGCTTTTTTGCCAGAAACCCAGGTGATTTGCGCTGCTCTTTATTTTATTTTTTTTTTTAACGTTTTTTATTTATTTTTGAGACAGAGAGAGACAGAGCATGAATGGGGGAGGGGCAGAGAGAGAGGGAGACACAGAATCAGAAGCAGGCTCCAGGCTCTGAGCCATCAGCCCAGAGCCCGACGCAGGGCTCAAACTCACGGACCACGAGATCGTGACCTGAGCTGAAGTCGGACGCTTAACCTACTGAGCCACCCAGGCGCCCCTGTGCTGCTCTTTAAAGTTAGAAAACCACTGCTCTGCAAGGCAAGCCTAAATGAAGTTCATTTTACGTGTGTGATTAACTCCCATTGGTAAATTCTCCCTACCACCTTATCTTCTTGTTTCTTGGCAACTCTTTCCTTCCTGACAAATGTGTATCATTTGGGGCTAGGCTGCCTCTTCCTAGGCCACCAGATCATATTTCAGAACTCAAAGGGAAATTAGACACCTCCCATCCCTCTCTCCATTTGAATGATATGAATAAGTGCCCTCCCCTGGCCAGACATTATCCTGGGGGTTCCCACACTCCACTCATTCTGATCTGATTGGGAGGTTGCAGGTGTCAAGGACTTGGCTTCCCAACTAACCCTAAGTATGTGGTTTTATGAAAGCGGCGGGCCGCCCCGCCCCAAGCTACCCGCTAGAGCAGTTTAACAAAAATCTCTCCTTTGCTCTTTCCATCTCTGGCCTGCCAGCTGCAAGTTTTATCTTCCAGGTATTGCCTATGCTTAGAATTCCCAGTTATAACTGGCTACTCCTTCATGCATAGACAAGTGCTTGTTTTCACTATCTTGTGAAGCCAGGGGATTGAGTCAGAAAGTCTGGTGGTTCACCTGCTTCTTTGCAAAGGGGAATCCAGTAGGTTGGGCTTAACCTCGCCTGATACACCCATATCATCCGCCAGACCAGCCCTTCCTGCGTCTTGAGATTCACAACAGAAGTATATTAGGAGTAAAGCAGTTTAATTATTTGGTACGGCCCCAGCCAAAAGCTCTGGCCTTAGTTTCCATAGCCTGCCTCTGTTGCCATAGCTGAGTCGAGAATTCTGTGTGGGCCCCCCTTCCCGGCAGCCACTAGAAGAAATGGAAACAAATGACAGGGAGGGAGAGAAGTGAGCTGCTTTGGGAAGAGAAAAGGCTGATTTATGAAGGATTATTAAGTAAAAGCATCGCTACGTTCAAGAAAGGAGAAAAGGCAGTGAGAGCCTATATATAAAAGACAAGAATAAAAAGAAGGGAGCAGAGGCCAGAGAACCCTAAAATGAAGCTGTAGGCAGAACAATTCAGGCAGGATATATATCTTGTGAGTCTGGGCATGGCTAAATAAGTCAATGTTTCAGCGAAGGGAATAGAGGCCCCTCACTGGGACCATCTTAAAACAGCCGAAATGAGACCCAGGAGGAGAAAGGAGAGAGCAGGTGCTTTAGAAACTGATCGTTTACTATTGGGGTCCCGACTCAAAATGTGTTCATAGTCCACAGACGTCAGGTCTACATAGATGAGGGTAGGCAAGCTGACTCTACGGGATTTTCCACAAGTTGCCAAAACTTCTAGCAAAAAAGAATGTACAAGGAATGAAAACATTGTATAGTTTCTTCTGCCAGTGAGTACACCAGTTAACAAATCTTGGGAATCTGTTAGAAAGTACTTTTGAGATGTGTCTTCTCTGTGTGGGCACCACAACTGATCTAGTTCCTACCTCAAGTAGCAGAAGAAAAAGTATACCAAGCTCAAGAGCAAGCCTTGAAGGGAAAGTATACTTGGGAACTTTGTGCACATGTCGGGTAGCAAGTACATCGTTTGGCAGGTGAAGTCCTGAGATGTACCCGAAGTGCTAGGGTTTAGAATGATTTAGAAAGTAACCGATTATATTTGTTGGGCAAGAGAAAGCTGCTACTGACTTTCCTTACTGTTCTTATTGTCTAATCCTGATGACAGGTGCCAGATTGCCCTGCAGCTTTCAGTTTGGCTCAACGATACAAAATTGTTGATAATTCAACTGTTTTTTGACCTATAAAGCCGCAAACAGCAAGGTGACTGGTGGCCTAAATGGGCTGTCCGAAGCCCCTCAGGAACTGGGCGTGGGGCGGGAGGAAGATGCCCAGATGGTTGGGGTGTTCGGGTCTCATGCAAGAATAGATGTCCCTTAAGGAGCTGTCCCAGACGGTCAAGGGCAGCCTGCTGGTGTGCACAGGCAAAGGGCACTGTGCCTGCAGGAAGCATAAATTTATATTGGAGTATCTAAATGGGAGCTCAGGTGGCCCCCCTCACCACAGACTGGGCAGCACAGGCAGTTCATTTCCTTAGAATCTGCAAAGTTTTCTGCAGTCGGTGGCCTTCTGTCTGATGCGCGCTCCCAGGAGTCCTGTCGAAGCAAGCTGATCAGCATGCCGCTGCCTGTCCAGAATACCAAACAGCAATGCGGGCTCCCGTCCCTCCACCACAGCCCGCTATGCTGGCACCAGCTCTGCCCTCCAAGAGCCCTTTCCCTCCCTCCACCGTGGCTTTTCTACAAACCCACTTGTTTCCAGGTGGCAGAAATGCACCCCGCAATCCAACAATATGTTTCTAAAACCTTCTCCATGACAACGCAGGGCCATAAGCAGGCTGCCGGCTCAGAGTTAGCCAGAGAAGGGCTGTGGGGGGAGATCGCTGTGGGGGAGACGGCACAGAGACAGCACAGGGCAGCCGGGGATGCCCAAAGTCAGCCTGAGCAGTCTGGGGCTTAATGTCCCAAGCTCTGGGAAAGGGGTCTGGGGAAGCCGTGAGCAAATGTCTCCAGATGCCTAGCAGTGATCATTCACAAACCTTGACTTTAGTCCAGGACAGCGTGGACTTCCTCTCTTCCTGTTACAGGTGAACAAGAGGAGAGAAATCGTGAGAATCCAGCAGAGAAGGACCTGGTTTTTTAAATGGGCTGCCACTGCTTTGTGATTGGACAAATTCTTTTTTTTTTTTTTTGATATAATTTATTGTTAAATTGGTTTCCATATGACACTCAGTGCTCATCCCAACAAGTGCCCTCCTCCCTGCCCATCACCCACTTTCCCCTCTCCCCGACACCCCCATCTACCCTTAGTTTGTTCTCAGTCCTCAAGAGTCTCTTATGGCTTGCCTCCCTCCCTCCATCCTTCTCTGTAACTTTTTTTTTTTTTTTTGGACAAATTCTTTATAAATCTCCAATGTTCTCCAAATGATGTGTCTCACAGAGGTCGCCTCCCCAGCCGGCCCATTTCATCCCCATTTCCAGCTGATGGCATGGTGGCCAGAGCCTAAGGACCAGGATCTCAGCTTCCTCTCTCGAATATTTAATGACAACATTGACCTGAGGGCAGGATGCTGGTCATTGCAGGGATGATGCCTCCTTGAGGCCCAGCATCCACAGAGCAGCTTTCTAGAAGACATCTTACTGTTGGCAGTTGGGGGGATGGGGGCATCAGGAAAAATTATAAACAAATGAGAAAGCCAAACGAGCAAGGCAGGGGTGTATCTGTGAGTTGGAACTGGGAGTGAAGACAGAAACGAAACCAGATGGCATCAGTTCTCCTTTGCAACTCTGCCCGTCAATTTTGGCCTCTCTATGGCTAAACCAGGGGCAGGACCTCCAGACCTCTTGGCAGCCTTTGGCGAGGAGCCAGGTGCTTCCCCTGCCGGTGTGTACTGTGCCCCGCCCCAGCCTCCCCCACCTGTTTGAGCAGAGCCTTTACAAAGGTTTGGCTTCAAAACACAGGGTACCAAAGGCTTCCAACTGCGACTTGAGATCAGAAGGACATACTCGTGTCAGAGGTATTGAAATCGGACCATTTGCCATCGATGAGGGCATCAGTCAAACCCAAACTCGGGGAACCCCGAGCCCTCTCTCCCCATTCTCCTGGGATTTTCAGATAGGATCAGGGCTCCCCCCCTTCTCAACTCCTCTCTACTCTTGTGAAGGCCCACCTGATCTGCTGCTAACACCAGTTCTTGCTGCAGGGCAGGGGAGTGGACCTTTCCTTTGTGTGGCTTCCGGTGGTCACTTACTCTCCACACAAAGAGGGAGTTGACAAGGGAGTGCCCAAGGCATGTCAGCTCTGGCTCCCGGGTAGTTCATGGCTGCAGCTGCTCAATGTCAAAATGCATTACTTGCACCTCCTAAATTACCGGATGAGCTAGTAACTTGCCATGCCCAGTGCAAAGTGAAAATGCATGGCCTCTCATTTACAAATTATTAACAATTTAGGGGCACCCGGGTGGCTCAGTCGGTTGAGTGTCAGACTTCAGTTCAGGTCATGATGTTATGCCCAGAATTCGTGATCCCCAAAGACCACTAGGGAGCCGAGTCTGATGCAAAAGCAAAGAGCCTTTATTCGAGCTAGCTCGAGCTCAATCCCCTACCTGCACCGACGCAGCGGTGAGATACCAGGGAAAGAGAGCGAGTTTCAAAAGGACAAAGGCTTTATTGGGGCCTGGGGGCAGTTGGTGAGGTAATGGCTATGGCCTCAGCCGATTGGCTGCGGAAGGGTCCTGGGGAAGGGTCCGAGTCCTGTTAGGCAGGTGAGGGGGGGTTACTCAAGGGGAGGAGGTGTGGTCAAGGTGAAGGACACAGAACAAGATGGAGTCGGCTGGCGTAGGCCTGCCCTTTCATGATCTCACAGTTTGCGGGTTCAAGCCCCACGTTGGGCTCTGTGCTGACAGCTCAGAGCCTGGAGCCTGTTTCAGATTTTGTGTTTCCTCTCTCTCTGCCCCTCTCCTGCTTGTGCTCTGTCTGTCTCTCAGAAGCAAAAAGTAAACATTAAAAAAAATTAAAAATTATTAACAATTTCAAGACGGCCAAAGCAGAACATGGAACCATACATGGGCCTTTCTAAGCTCAGGGCCCTGTGTGACCCCATGAGTTGTTCCCCCATGAAGCCAGCTCTGCTGAATTCTTATACCTTATAGAAGACGCTGTAGCCAAACACTGGGAGATAAAGTTTCTGAAGTTTTAAAAAAAATTTTATTTACTTATTTTGATAAAGAGAAAGAGCATGAGTGGGGGAGGGACAGAGAGAGGAAGAGAGAGAATCCCAAGCAGGCACAATGCTGTCAGTGCAGAGCCTGATGTGGGCTCTAACTCAAGAACCATGAGATCATGACCTGAGCCAAAATCAAGAGTCAGACACTTAACTGACTGAGCCACCCAGGTGCCTCAAAATTTCTGAAGTTTTTAACATAGAGGATAATTAGGACTTTCAGAGCTGTAAAACCAGACTTGTATTAGACCAAAGAAAGAAATTCAGACATCCTATTTTGTTGTCTTTCTTTAATTCCCATTCAGATCCTTCCCAAAACAGGAGTAGAAGAAGTGGGAGTGTTTTTCTAGGACCATCAGATATGGGTGATAAGACTCAGCCTGATAAGGTGATAAGACGCCTGAACACCTTTCAGTAAGGTGAACATGAACTTTGGAATGGTGACCTTACGCCAGGTACTGTGAAACCTTGAGGGTGTGCCCAGGGGATTAATGATGCCAGAGGACTCCCCTGATTGATGGCTTGTTTGAAGGTGGCCTCCCCTCCCACCCACCTCACTCCAAGCTCCGCTAGGGAGGAAGTGAAAGCATAGCCCCTCAGGGAGCTCAGCCCTTTATAGCCCTCCGCAAATGTGTGGGATTCTGGCTCAAACACTAGGGACAGTAAACCACTATAATCTCCTTGTCACAGTAGGGGACATGCCTGAGACAAATGTGGGGTCTGTTGCCCCACTCCGAGCTTCTCTCTTTCTTCTCAAAAGTACCATTCTTACTCCTCTTTGGCTCAAGGATACATTCCTCTGCTCTGGGAAGGAAGGAAGGAAGGAAGGGGAGGGGGACAGACATTCAGACATCCTATTTTGTCTGAATGAGACAAAAAGAGAGGGAGAAAGAAAGAAAGAAAGAAAGAAAGAAAGAAAGAAAGAAAGGGAGAGAGAAAGGGAGAAAGAAAAAAAGAAAGAAAGAGGAAGGGAGGGAGGAAGGAAGAAAGAGAGAGAGGGATAGAGGGAGGGAGGAGGGAAGAAAGAAAGAAAGAAAGAAAGAAAGAAAGAAAGAAAGAAAGGGGAGGGGGAGAGAGAGGGAGAAAGAGAGAGGAAGGAAGAGAGAGAGAGGAAGGGAGAGAGGGAGGAAGGAAGAAAGAGGGAGAGGGAGGGAGGAAGAAAGAGAGAGGGATAGAGGGAGGGAGGGAGGGAGAGAGGAAGGAAGGAAGGCAGAAGGAAGGAAGGAAGGAAGGAAGGAAGGAAGGAAGGAAGGAAGAAAAGAAAGAAAGAAAGAAAGAAAGAAAGAAAGAAAGAAAGGGAGGGGGAGAGAGAGGGAGAAAGAAAGAGAGAGGAAGGAAGAGAGAGAGAGAAAAAGAAAGAAAGAAAGAAAGAAAGAAAGAAAGAAAGAAAGAAAGAAAAAGAAAGAGAGAGAGAAAGGAAGGGAGGGAGGGAGGGAGGGAGGAAGGAAGGAAGGAAGGAAGGAAGAAAAGAAAGCACTAATAAAAGCAGCAGCTTCTAAGTCCTGCCAAGGCCAATGCTCTTGGGAAGTGTCTTCAAGGAAAGGCTGGCTGGAGGCCACAACCCCAGCTTTCAGAGCAGCTGCCGAAGCCTTCGTCTGTTGGACAGTGCATGCTTCCGTCTACACAGTGACCAGAGAAATCCACCAGGGCTGCCCCGCCCCCACCAGACTTGTAAACAGACCACCATAACTGTATGGAAATTGAAAATAAATTATAAAAGAATTTGCACACTTTTCCAATTAATTTCGATGTGTAGATTTCTACAACCCCCTACCCCTTTGCCCAGGTTTTCAAAGTAAAGGTAATCTAGGAAGGATAACTCCTGCTATACCTCGCAGACCTACCCAAAACACCACCACATCTCATGTTTGGGTGAAGGTCACCTGACGACAGGGGCCACGGACTGGGATCTAGCACTGGGCTGCACTTTGGGAAGTACTTCTTCCTGGGGCCTGGCTTGGCTCACTGGACAAGGAAGAAAGTACTACTTGTGTTTGAAGATGGAGAGAATGGGGATTGTTCTTCAGTTTTGGTTGGGATGAAGCATGAAGATGAGCTTAAAATTCCTGTAGGTGAGAACCAGGGCAGAATGAAAGTGTATGACACCACCATTGATCTAGTCACCATTTACCAAGCGCCTACTGTATTTTAGATCCTGCAAAAAAGGAGCAGGTAAGATTGTGGTCCCTACTTCAAAGCGCTCCTAGGCTGGACCGGGTGGGGTGTGTGTGTTGCAGGCAAGTCAACAAGTTTTCATAGGATTCTTGGATGTGGGCTCCAGTGAGAGCATGGGTGAAAGCTCACAGGAAGTGCTGGTCCAGGGAGAATCACAGACAGCGTCCTAGGGAAGTGATATCTAAGCCAAGGTCTTAGAGAGGAGCACAAGGCTGAGAAGAGGCTTATTTTCTTTCTCTTATGTAATAATGCCTAGGCAGCCAGGTGGTCCAGGCTGGGTAGATGGTCCCGTGGCACAGGTTTTCCAGGGCCTAGCTGCCTTCTATCTTACCTTGCCATCTTCTAGGATGTTTTCATCACTTGCATGATCAAAGTTAACTCACCAGCACTACCTCCACATCCCGGGGAATAAGAAGACACAGAAGGCTGGGAATGCAAGCTGGTGCAGCCACGCTGGAAAACAGTGTGGAGGTTCCTCAAAAAACTAAAAATAGAACTACCCGATGACCCAGCAAGTGCACTATTAGGCATTTATCCACGGGATACAGGGGTACTGTTTCGAAGGGACACATGCACCCCCATGTTTATAGCAGCACTATCGGCAATAGCCAAAGTACAGAAAGAGCCCAAATGTCCATCAATGGATGACTGGATAAAGAAGATATGGTATATCTATACCATGGAGTACTACTCAGCAATCAAAAAGAATGAAATCTTGCCATCTGCAACCACGTGGATGGAACTGGAGGGGATTATGCTAAGTGAAATTAGTCAGAGAAAGACAAAAATCCTACGACTTCACTCAGATGAGGAC